TTTTGAAAGAAGTTTCTTATGCTCACCAAGCCTGCATTTACTTGATCAAAAATACATTAAAACTGTTAAAATTGTGAACTATTATTACCATGTAAAAGAACTGTTTCCTATTTTAATTTTTTTTTAATGTAATTTATTCCTCTGATGGCAAAGCTGAATTTTCAGCAGTCATAATGTCACTTGATCCTAAATCATTCTAATATGCTGATTTGGTGCTCAAGAAACATTTCTTATAATTATCAGTGTTGAAAACAGTTTTTACTGAAATGATTTCTGAAGAATCATGTGACACTGAAGATGTTAAAATATATTAAAATAGAAAATTGTTCTTTTAAATTGTACTGTATTTACTCTATTTGTGATCAAATAATTACAGCCTTAGTGAGTATAAGAAACTTCTTTCAAAAAGATTAAGAAATTATTTGAGCTGTAGTGTAACTCTCACTTTTCACAATCAAGTCCTGCCCCACATTTTTTTTCTCATAAAATGTTTTGAAAATACATTGTTTCTTGAAATTAAAATAGCTTTTAATTGGCAGTTCACTCTGACTTGACCCAAACAAAGTGTTCTGCCTGCTATAATTTGTGTTTTTGCTTTCATTTCTATTCTTGTTGATTAAATTTTTTGTTGTTTCCAGGGCTGGGCTTTTTAGGGTGAATGGATAGATAAATAGACGGATGGATGGGGAATGGAAAAATGGAGAGAATGTGAGAGAGGATGTGTATAGATGAATTGTGCTCTATGTGCAGTTCGCCCCTCCTCATCATGCAAAGATCGTAATCCCCTCCTCAATTTCCTGTCTCTGTGGACACTCACTTGATTTAATGGCCTTTGATGATTGCTCAGTAAAACAGTACATGGGGTATCCACTTGAGATCCCAAAGGGCAGTGTGTGTGTGTGTGTCTCAGTCAGCATTCGTAAATGAACAGTTGTGCTGAACTGACATTAGTTAATGTGTAATGTGGTAGATCATAAAATGACCATTGACATCATTAAATGAAATTGCAAATTGATTGTTTTTTGCACAGATTTCCCAAATACTCCCCTGATCTACCATTTGTTGGACCAACAGATAACCCCGCCCCTACCTCACACCATTGGTTAGGCCAGTGTTGTTGTGTTGAACTGGTCAGGATGCTCAAATAAACAGGGCCTCGGTGTTTACAATTTTTATGCAAATCATCCTACAAATGACTTACTTATAGTTGTCTGTACATATTAACCTGGAATATGAGAATGTGTTTCAACAATCTTTCCTCTCTGTTTTTCCTGATCCACTACAAATATTTCCTCGCAGTGCATGAAATAGTCTATTCTCATTAGTCTTTCAGAAACCTCATTATCTGCACAAGTCAAGCAATTAAATCTGCACGTATTAATGTAGCTGTTATGATTGATCATGTTTATTGGATTGACTCAAGAGCTCTTGGGTTCTTCATCAGTTATCAGACATGAGAGCGGCAGAAGGATGGGGGGTACGAGTGGCAGGCTGGCGGCGAGAACAGATAAACACTCACCTTGCTTGTGTGCTAATTGTTGTGCCTCCTTCTGTTAGCGTCCCCTTCCTTTTGTTTCTCTGCTGTCAACTCTAATCAACCATTAGATCTTCAGCAGATGGAAGAGACGAAGTGGGAGCGACAGAGAGAGACCGTGGGAATAGCTGCTCAGTTTTAGCAACGCTGCCCTCTATCTGACAAGGAGAATGAGTTGGTCTTTCATAGCACCACAAAAGCTGATAGAATTAGAGAGAAGTATATATAGTTGATTGTTGTTATAATTATTGTTTTCGGTTCTCTCCCTGCTAGCTTGTGGCTTGGACTACGGTCGAACAGAAAGGCAATTATTTATTCCCATGGTGCACTGTGATTTCCATAAACACAAGCATGCAAGCATATTGGGTTCCTGCAGATCATATTTTACACTATTAATACGCCATCTGCCTCTGCTAACACACACACACACACACACACACACACACACATACTCACAGTCAGCAGAAGAGCTGAGAATGCACACTGAAATACAAATGATCACAGGGAGACCAAAAATGCAGATATACTGACACGAAAACACGATTTACGCAAGTCAGTCCAAAAAAAGAAAAAAAAAAACATATGAGATTTTAAAGTTGGCATGAAAATTTACCTAGTTTATTCTCTAAAGCATTCTTGATCTTATTGTGAATGATTCATCTATGCATGTTTAATTTTTAAATTTTTTGTCCTGTAATTTTTAATCTTCTGGTAAAACGACAGACTTCTTTCTGGTATTGTATATGCCGGATTTCTCCAGTCATTTATTCAGCTTAAATTGCACCCCTTTCTTACACTCAACTTTAAGCTTGCATTCAGATCTTCATCCAATCAATAATCGGTGGCTTGTTAAAAATAGACTGTCACTATATCTGTTAAATCGTGACTTGAAAGATTAATCATTAATCAAAGTGAATTGTCACTGAATTAACCCATTTTACTTCCATATTGTGATATATTTCTGGCTGAAATAAGAAAAATATATTCAATAAGAAAAAAGAGAATTGGCTGTATTGTGAAAAGTGCAGCCATTTAAATAGCTATTCAACTATTAAATAGCTATTCAACTAACAGTTATTTGCACAGAAAGGAAATACATTCAAGGGGAAGAGAAACGGATTAAATTGTTATTACAAAGACAAACAATGCTTTTCTTTGGAATAATATACACCAGTGAATCATTCACAATTAGACTAGGAATGTGTATTAGGAAAATAAATAGTCGATTTTGATTTAATGTTGACTTTAAAGTCTCTGGAAGGTTTTAGGGGGTTATCAGGGGTCCATCTCTCATTTTCTGCTAGGGAAAAAATTAGAAGCAGGTCGTAAAATCCACACAACAGTTTAACTGAGGTCTTGCTATTTATTTCTCAGGTCAGTCAAGAGTCTCTGTTGGATTAGAGTGGAGGTCAATGACAGGTCGGGAGATAACTGCAGTCTCACCGAGGAAACTGCTTTAATGAGAGCAGCCGATCAGCTGCCATGGA